ATCCCTAAGACGTGGGGTGTCGCTTCTTTCCTCTCCTAACCACGGGGAGAGGGGAGGTCGGGGCCGATCTCGCGTGCGCTCCCGCTTCAGACGTTCGCTGCGGACACGGGAACGGGATTGAGAGAAGTCTTGCGACCACTCCAAAAAAAAGGCTTGAAAATTTAAAAATGGGGGGACCGTGGGGTGTCGCTTCTTTCCCCTCCTAAGCACCGGAGAGGGAGGTCGGCCCGATCTCGCATGAGCTCCCGGTTCAGACGTTCGCTGCGGACACGGGATTGAGAGAAGTCTTGCCACCACCACTAAAAAGGCTTGGAAATTTAAAAATGGGGAGAATACAGGTTTGGGAAGGTCTCTCCCCGCCGGATCCCGCGCGCACGTGGAGCGGTGGGTGGTCTTTCGCCTGCATCCCACCCACCCCGCCACCCGCCATCATGCACGCCTGCTCTTGTGCAATCCCCGCGGGGCTTCTTACTGGCTCTGGATTTCCTCGGCCACGAAGTCCTTGCCCGACTTTCTCTTCCCGCTGAAGAGCAAGATCAGCTTCGGCGTCTGGGCCATTGCAAAGAACAACTCCGCAGCAGCAGCAGCAAGCAGCACTCAACAACGTCTCCCTCCCTTTGCCGGCCTTAATGGTCTCGTCCGGAACTGAGCATTCCGTCCGCCGCCCTCCGCCCGCCTCGCACCAATGGGGACGTCGCAGGCGCCGCTTCCTGGAAAGCGGGCGCTACCAAGTGAGGAAAGCGAAAGAAGGGGGCGGTGGAAAGAGACGGACGGGACGAGGAAGACCGAATCACGCGGCGTGGGCGGAATAGAACGATCTGAAAGGGGCGGGGCTATCCTTAAGCCACGCCCCGTATGGAACCTGCGTCCTGGTGTGTTAGGAGGAGACAGGCGTCATTTGCATATTTAAACATATTTTTTTTAAAAATAATCATCTCAGTGCAGGCACAAAGGACAGAAGGGGGTCATTCGGGAGGCTTATTTGGGATACATATATTCCATTTTTAAAAAAATTTAAAATTTTCTTAATAATAATAATAATAATAATAATAATAATTTTTATTTATACCCCGCCCTCCCCAGCCAAGGCTGGGCTCAGGGCGGCTAACAAGCAATAATAAAAACAAGTTGAATGAATACAACTTAAAAGCAAGATTAAAATACAACATTAAAATATTGAAACATTAAAATATTAAAATGCAGCCTCATCACAGGAGGAGAAAGGAAAAAGAAAGAGAGGGAGGGAATCAAAATTGATTCCAAGCCAAAGGCCAGGTGGAACAACTCTGTCTTACAAGCCCTGTGGAAGAAATCAGATCCTGCAGGGCCCTGGTCTCATGAGGCAGAGCGTTCCACCAGGCCGGAGCCAGTGCTGAAAAGGCCCTGGCTCTGGTTGAAGCTAATCTAACTTCCTTAGGGCCTGGGACCACTAGGGTGTTGCTATTTATGGACCTTGAGGCTCTCTGTGGGCATACCGGGAGAGGCGGTCCCTTAGGTACGAGGGTCCTAGGCCGTGAAGGGCTTTAAAGGTCAAAAATTATATACGTTTATAAATATTTCCTGAGTGTGGAGCGTTTGGAAATAGTTAAAAATAATGACTTTTGAAAGGGACTATTAAAAAGGGGGTTTTTTTTTCTCTTCTCTCCCCCACCCCAGTTATAACTGATTTACAGTGATCCCAAAACAATTCAACTGAATTTAAAGTATTTTAGATTTCACTCTTAATTTGAAAAAGTGTAATAAGCATGCCCATTTAAAAATGAGTGATGTATACTTATTAGTATTAGAAGATAGTCTTTGAGAGGAAGTGAGGGAGTAACTTACCAAGGATGTTCCAAAAGAAATAGTAACATTAAAAAATTCAGATTGGTAGCTAGGTTTGAATATGTAAGCCACAGGTGTGTACAGACACACACAAATAGTTCTGCTGGCTTAAGGTACAAAGCAAAGTATTTTGGAAGGGAAACTCTAAGGAGGGGGAGCCCTTCTCCCCCCCAAAAAAAAACCCTGTCCATTGACGTCTGAGCATGCTCTAGTAATGGAATAATAACAGATCTGGAGTTGGCAGATGCAATGGAGTACCCAGGAAGTGGGCATGGCTGGCCAGCCTCTTAAACAAGAGCCCCCCATCCTGTCGCAAGTTCCACTTGTTATGGCTAATATCCATTGACAGAAGTCTCCTCTTCATGAATTCACCTTTTTAAAAAAACAACCTATGTAAGCAAGGGGCCAGTGGTCGCAGGTACCCATTTGGGGATGATTGGGTGAAAGGCAGGGAGCCCAACAGAAGGTGGCGCCAGAGAGCCCAATGACAGGCAGAGCCACCCATTTCTAGTTCCTGTTTCCCCATGATCCTCCTCACTGTGCCTTCTACAAGGGCAACATGGAGAGGAGGGAGGAAGAGGCGGATGGACTGGTTGTAAGTTAAGAAGAAAGGCAGGTGTGGGTTTTCAGAGCCCTGCCCCATCTGCCCTAGTGAACCAGCCTCTGCTGGAGTGGGCACTGCGATCTCTCGCGCCAGTCAATCTCCATCAGTTAATTGTGTGACGTGAAGAACGTGTGGCTTAAAAAAATGCTTCTGCCACAATGGACTCATTCCGCCTCCTCAATTCCAACAGTACATTCAGAAACTTGGGCGCAACTGATGTGAAAAATCACTTCTTAGTCTTGCAACAATGACATCCCAGCTCTGGCTGGATACTCTGAAGTATGATTCTCCGGCTCTCAAGGTCATCAAACCCACCCAAACCTAGCGGGGGCCCGTCTAGCCAAAAACGTAGACAACTCTATGGTAGGGTGGATGGCTGGAGGACCAGTGTGTGTTGCTGAACCACAAAAAGGGGATGAAAGTTGAAGTTCCCTTGTAAATCCATCTGTCTTTGAGGCTCACCCATCCATTGATACACGGCAAAGGTGGCCGGCACTTCTTAACGGTGGGATTTGTGACCTCTTAGTGTGGTTTTCCCAGTAGTGATGTATGGAAGTGAGAGCTGGACCATAAAGAAGACTGATTGCCGAAGAATGGATGCTCTTGAATTATGGTGCTGGAGGAGACTCTTGAGAGTCCCATGGACTGCAAGAAGATCAAACCTCTCCATTCTGAAGGAAATCAGCCCTGAGTGCTCACTGGAAGGACAGATCCTGAAGCTGAGGCTCCAAGACTTTGGCTATCTCATGAGAAGAGAAGACTCCCTGGAAAAGACCCTGATGTTGGGAAAGATGGAGGGCACAAGGAGAAGGGGACGACAGAGGACGAGATGGTGGGACAGTGTTCTCGAAGCTACGAACATGAGTTTGACCAAACTGCGGGAGGCAGTGGAAGACAGGAGTGCCTGGCGTGCTCTGGTCCGTGGGGTCACGAAGAGTCAGACACAACTAAACAACAACAAGTGTGATTTTAGCTTTGCAATGGGAGTTGGCGCACCTGTCTGGCAAGTGAGATGCTCATCTAGCGTTGGCATATTTCAAGAACTGAAAATCAGAGTACTAAAGTTGGGGGGGGGAATTGCCTGGACATTTTGCCCATTTTTCAAAATTCCCCCGGACGCTAATTTCACCGGACATGTCTGGGAAATTCCAGGCGTATGGCAACCCTAGCTATCCCAAAGATATTGGAGGTGGGAAAGCACTTTGCTTATGCTCATAGATACAATTCCTCCTTCACACACACTTCAGCGAGGCAGTATCCTGCATGCATTGTTGGGAAAGAGAGGAGAGTTTGAGCAGGGGCAGGAACGCAGGGAGCTGTGTCAGAGGTTTGGTGCATCTAGCTTGGTGCTGTCTACACTGACCGGCAGCAGCCACCCCGGATTTCCCCTCACCCAGTGCTACATGGAACTGAATTAGGGACCTCCTTCTGGCAAAGCAGGGGGTTGATCACTCAGCAGTGGTCCTTTCCTCAAACTCAGGAATTACTCAGACGCACAGGCCGGAAGATTCACAACGATATTCTTAGCAGGTGTCCTTGCGTTTGAAAAAACAACAACAGCAAACGACCGAAAGCTGTTGCCATGGCAAAACAAAACGAGGATATGTTGTTGGAAGGGCATTTCCACCCCGCCAGCATCACACACACACCCCACACTCCCTCTCCACATTCACCTTACGGCCTTCAATGGGCCACTTAATCAGAGACAACCTTGGAAAGAAAGGAACAATCAGTGCCTTTATTTGGTTTCCGACACACTCACAGTGCAAGAAATTGTGAGGGAGTAGGGAGGGGGTGAATGTGGGGTGGGGAAGAAGGAAAACAAGCCATCCCCCCAAGTGACTCAACCCTTCCCCACCCCCACCAGGTGAGGAAATGATATCCCCATTTTCACCATTCCTAATTAGAGAGAATTTCGGGAGAATTTCAGAGTTTAGAAGGGACAACAGCAAGGTCACGGCGTCCCGAGAAGGAAAATCTCGCCGGCGTCGTATTTCTAATTTGGGGTTCCAATCCATTTTTCCTTTGACACAATTACAGTGGTACCTCGGATTACAGACGCTTCAGGTTACAGACGCTTCAGGTTACAGACTCCGCTAACCCAGAAATAGTACCTCGGGTTAAGAACTTTGCTTCAGGATGAGAACAGAAATTGTGCGGCGGCAGCGGGAGGCCCCATTAGCTAAAGCGATGCCTCAGGTTAAGAACAGTTTCAGGTTAAGAACAGACCTCTGGAACGAATTAAGTTCTTAACCCGAGGTACCACTGTACTTATCCCGAGACGAAAGAGAGGTGAGCCAGCCCCCCCCCCCGGATCTGGGTTGGAAGGCCCTATAGAGAGACCCTCACCCACCCCCAGCAAAGATCTCTCTCAACAGGAGGGGACATGGGGTGAAAAAGGATTGCTTTCCTGACGATAATCCAACCGTCCTCTACTAATGGTCATTACTGAGTGGAAGCAAACTTGGGGTGGGTGGGGATGGAGGGCTCTGAGTGGAAATGGGGGGTGGGAGGACAATGTATCTGGGTGACCCCACACATCAGAACTTGGCATGTTGATAAAACACTTTCCTTCCCTGCCAAGGAGTAACGGTACCAACCCCTCCACCGGGACATCAAGTGATCCTTGATAGGCCCAACTCCTTTACCCTCCCACCCTGAGCCAGATTAGTACTGGCGGGTCCTGCCATCCTAGCCATGGGGCCAGCTGGTGCTCTCTCGCCCGTTTTTGCGCCCGTGTCCCTCGGGGTTCCTCTCCTTCGGGTGGCGCTGGGCGCTGCTGTCCCGCTGCGCGAATCTGGGGAGAAGGCAATAAGGTTAAGGCTGATAACATTGAGTGTTAAGTTGTGGGTGAGCATATCAGACGACACAGCGATTCTTCAAACAGCTCTTGTTTATTCACAGGCCAGAACAGAACTGAACTGAAGGGTTCTGTCAGCCTGCTTATATAGAGCTCCACTACAACGCAACAGTAACTTTCTAAAACTATCCAATCACTGAATGTCACTTCCGATCCCTTATTTGCATAACTATCTACAGTATCCCCCTGCCGGCCCAGGGTGAGAGCTTCAGTACATAACATTGAGCCACGCAGGTGCAGAGCACACCATTGGCAATCTGCTTCCCCTTCTCCCACAACCAGGAACGTCTCAGAGCCACGTATGACATGGGGAAAACATACCGTATAAATAGGAAAATAAGAAGAGCCGGCCGGATCAAGCCAATGGCCCATCTAATCCAGTATCCTGTTCTCACAGCAGCTCCCCAGATGCCCCCGTGGGAAACCCACAAGAACGACCCACACATAAGAGCAGCTCTCCCCTCCTGTGGTTTCCAGTCGTTGTTATTCAAAAAGCGGGACTGCCTGAGACTGTGGAGAAAGATTGCAGCCATTGTGGCTAATAGCCACCAATAGCCCTCTCCTCCATGAATTTGTCTCTGAAAGACATCTCGGTCGGGGGCCATCACTGTGCCCTGTGGAATTGAGTCCCATAGCTTAGCTAGGTGAAGGAATAAATGTGAGAACCAGTGGTTGCATAAGGGGTTAAAGTGTTGCAGTAGGACCTGGGGGACTTGGGTTCAAATCCCCCACTTGATCACAAAGCTCAGTGAGACCGCATTCAAACCATATATTTAAAGCCCTTAGAGAATGAGTAGGCAAACTAAGGCCGGGCGGCCAGATCCGGCTCAATCGCTTTCTATATCCGGCCCTCAGATGGTCCGGGCATCAGCATGTTTTTACATGAGTAGAATATGTCCTTTTATTTACCGTATTTTTCGCCCTATAGGACGCACTTTCCCCCCTCCAAAAATGAAGGAGAAATGTGTGTGCGTCCTATGGGGCGAATGCAGGCTTTCGCTGAAGCCTGGAGAGCGAGAGGGATCGGTGCGCACCGACCCCTCTCGCTCTCCAGGCTTCAAGAAGCTCTCCGCAAGCCTTGGGAGCCTGCAGGAGTTCCTGCCGGGCTCCCACGGCTTGCGGGGAGCTGCCTGCATCCCGAAGCCTGGGGCGCGCTGAGTAGTGCGCCCCAGGCTTCAGGCAGATATCCGCCAGCCTGGGGAGACTGGCGCGACTTCCTGCCGGGCTCCCTAGGCTTGTGGATAGCAGCCTGTTCTGGGGGTGGAGTCAGAGGAAGCTCGGGCTTCCCCCGCCCCAGCCCCGCGCCTGGGGGGGAAATATTTTTTCCCTTTATTTCCCCCCCCCCAAAAAAAACTAGGTGCGCCCTATGGGCCAGTGCACCCTATGGGGTGAAAAATACGGTAAAATGCATCTCTGGGCTATTTGTGGGGCTTGCCTGGTGTTTTTACATGAGTAGAATGTGTGCTTTTATTTAAAATGCATCTCTAGGTGATTTGTGCAGCATAGGATTTGATTTCACCCACCAAAATATAGTCCAGCCCCCCACAAGGTCTGAGGGACAGCGGACTGTCCCCCTGCTGAAAAAGTTTGCTGACCCCTGCCCTGGAGAGTCTCCCGCACCCGCAACCTCGCAGGCTCTCTCACCTGCCCGCAGGGGCAGCGCCCAGCTGCCTCAGGATCACCTCCTCGAAATTATCCGCTTCCTCTTCGCTGCCCCCCAGCTGTTCCGCCAGCTCCTCCAGCGCGTCCTCAACCTCATCCAGGAGCTCCACGAAGCTCAGGCGGTCGTGGGCAAAAGCCCCGTCGTTCCCAAAGTAGCCCTCGAGGGCGGCCACTAGTCCTCCGTAGTGCTCGGCCCAGCCCAGCCCAGCCAGGTAGCTCTGGAGCATGGGCAAGAAGCGCGGCTTCTGCACTGGCTCTAACCCTTCCTGCCGGGCGCACTCGCCGACGCCGGCACAGCCCTGAGGAGGCCGGTACGGGTGCTTGGCCAGCGCTTCCCACAACGCACCGGGCTCAGCGGGCTTCTTGGCTTTCCGGTGCTCCCCGTCTTTGGCCGACTTGGCGTCTCGCGGCCCCTGGTGCTTCCTGGGACGGTGCGGCCCGTCGTTGCCCATCTTGGGAGCCTTGTACGGAGGACGGTGTTCCTTCTCCGGGCCTTCGCCGTGGTGTGTGGGCTTGCGCTCCTCGTGGCCATCGTGCCTTTTGTGCCAGGCTCTCTCCTTGCCTCGCTTGGCTTTATGGCCATCTTTCCAGGACGGTTTGGCCCCCTCTTCTGCCCCCTCCAGCTCCTGGGCCACCCTCCGCTCCACGCCGTCCAGTTCCTTCCGGAGCCCTTCGGACACGTTGCCGGGCGGAACCTTCTGGAAGGCTCTCCCCAAGTCCCGCCGCACCGACGCCAGCAAGGAGCGCAGGCGGCGGATTTCGGCCTCGGGCCTCTCTGCCTTTTCCCGCTGGCGGTCCTGCGAGGGCAGCTTTTCCGGGCGCGGCTGGGATTTGGAGTCGCCCGCCTCGGCCAGCTTCTCCTGCAAAAGATGGAGCTCGGCTCGTGTGGCGAGGAGGGAGGCCGTCTCCCGCTTCAGCGCCTCCGCCAGCCTGGAGTTCTCGGCGGCCAAATTCTGCCGCTGAGAGGTGAAGTCCAGCGCCTCACCTTCCGTCTTGCGCAGGAGCAGCTGCAGTTCCTCCTTCTGGGCCTGCGGTTTTCCAAAAGGAAAGGAAAATAGAGATGTGTTCGTTCGCTGGAGCAAAGTCGCGAGTGGAAATCCCGATCCCAGGACGCAAGTGACAAAACATCACCAGACCGAGGAACCCGGAATAATTATTAAGGGCCGCGCTCCAAAAACTGTTTGTGGAGCATTCGTTTCAGCAGTAAAATTCAGGACAGAAAGGAGTTATTTTGTCATTGTTGCTGTTGTTAAAAAACCCCCACCTAGTCCCACGTTCTTTTCTTTTTATTTATTTATTTAAAGTTTTTATTTATACTTTTTCAAATTTATGCATTTAATTAATTTGACAATCATTTTAACATTTCAAAGTCTGACTTCCTTCCCGCTCTTTCTGCGGTTCCTTAAATTTATTTTTTCATATCTTCTGCTTATCGAAATTCATTTAATTTACTAATTTAATTATCTAATTTAAATACAAAACTGCAGGTTATTACAATAACCCTGCCAATATTTTTATCTGTTTGCAATTTATCTGTAAATATTCAATAAACCATTTCTATTCTTTTATAAAAAGTTTGCTATCTTGATTTCTTATTCTTCTGGTGAGTTTCACCATTTCTCCATATTCCATAAGTTTTTGTATCCATTCTTCCTTTGCTGGGGCTTCTGCTTCTTTCCATTTTGTGGTGAGTAGCATACATAAATAAATTTCTATATAATTTAGGTAGTTCTGTCCCTATAATTTTGAGTTCCATTCTCACAGCCCCCAACCAGATAACTATGGGGAACCCGCAAGGAGGACCCCAGGCACGAGAACCTTCTTCCCTTCTGTGGTTTCCAGCAACCGTTATTCAGAAGTATCGGTACCGCCAACCATGGAGTCATTGAAGGCCTTATTTACCTCCCCAAATTTGTCCAGTCCTTTTTTAAAGCCACCCAAGTTGGTGGCCGTCACTGCCTGCCTCCTGTGACAGTGAGTTCCACAGTTCAGCTGCGCTGCGTGACAAAGTACTTTTATCCATCCTGAACTTTCAATCCTTCAGCTACCTCGGATGTCTGCAAATTCTACTGTTAGGATGACCAACTAAGGAGGAACGGCTTATGAAACTGCTGGAATATGCTGAAATGGTGAAATTAACAGCTGGGTTAAGAGGACATAAGGCAGGGTCGCCATACGTCCAGAATTTGCCAGACATAGCCAGAATACTGCACTAGGAAGCAGCGCCCAGGAGGAAATCACTAAAAAAAAGTCTGGGAAAATCTGGACGTATGGCAGCCCGTGTTGTCGGTGTCATTTAACAACTTTGGCCAAGAAAAAGAACAGCTAGACAACTTTTGTGCGCTGATTTTCACTTTTTGAAATATGGCAACCCTAGCATAAGTATTTAAGAAGGAATGAAAACCACTGATGGATTATATGTCAAATTATCACCAATATATGAAGGATTTGAAATATAAGCAGTGGATTACTGAAAGATTTAACGGTAGAGGGGCTTAGATAATAAATATGTATCTGCTATAAAACAGCTAATGAAAAGGAGTAAAAATCAAACTTCAGGAAAGGAGGGGCGGGAAGTCAAGAAGAAACGTGTGTTAAAAAAAAGATTTGTATGTAATGATAAATGCTTTGAAATATGTGGGATACTTTATGAAAATGATATGAATGGGGAGGGGGGACAAATTCTACTGTTATGAGAGAGAAGAATCAGGTCCTAACTTATTAAGGTAAAGGTAAAGGACCCCTGGATGGTTAAGTCCAGTCAAAGGTGACTATGGGGTTGTGGCGCTCATCTCGCTTTCAAGTCAAGGGAGCCGGTGTTTGTCCACAAACAGCTTTCCAGGTCATGTGGCCAGCATGACTAAAACGCTTATGGTGCAACAGAACACTGTGACGGAAGTCAGAGCACAGGGGAAAGCTGTTTACCTTCCTGCCACAATGGTACCTATTTATCTACTTGCACAGGTGTGCTTTCGAACTGCTAGGTTGGCAGAGCTGGGACAGAGCAATGGGAGCTCACCCCGTCGCGGGGATTCAAACCACCGACCTTCTGATCAGCAAGCCCAAGAGGCTCAGTGGTTTAAACCACAGCGCCACCTTTTACCTAACTTTTTACAGTCTCCACCTACTGGCAGCAGGATTTCAAGTGGGAGACATTCCCCCTCCTATTCGGGGATGCCCCTGGGTCTTGAAGCGGGGACCTTCTGCATGCAAAGGAACTGTTCTACCCTCCTTCACTCTACCCAGACCCTCCACGCCACCTGCAGTTCCGCTTGCATAAGCCGGATGTCTTGATTCTCCTTGGCCAGCTTGTCTAGCAAGAGTCCCATGGCATCCAGGCTCTGGCGGTCACCATCTGATGACATCACCGCTTCCTTGGCTCTCTGAAGCTCCTCGCCAACCGGGGGTTCCCGTGGGGGCGAAGCTGGCCAATCCTGCTGGGGTGGGGTGGGAAGTCACAGTGAGCCTTGTTGGCTCCCAATACATTTCCGAGCATAATTCAAAGTGTTGGTGCTGACCTTGAAAGACCTAAATGGCCTCAGTCCAGTATACCTGAAGGAGCGTCTCCACCCTCATTGTCCAGCCCAGACACTGAGGTCCAGCTCAGAGGGCCTTCCGGCGGTTCCCTCACCAAGAGAAGCCAAGTTACAGGGAACCAGGCAGAGGGCCTTCTCGGTAGTGGCACCACCCCTGTGGAACACCCTCCCACCAGATGTCAAAGTGAAGAACAACTACCAGACTTTTAGAAGACATCTGAAGGCAGCCCTGTTTCGGGAAGCTTTTAATGTTTAACAAAGCACTGTATTTTAATACAGTGGTACCTCGGGTTACATACGCTTCAGGTTACAGACTCTGTAACCCAGAAATAGTACCTTGGGTTAAGAACTTTGCTTCAGGATGAGAACAGAAATCGTGCTCCGGCGGCGCAGCAGCAGCAGGAGGCCCCATTAGCTAAAGTGGTGCTTCAGGTTAAGAACAGTTTCAGGTTAAGAACAGACCTTCAGAACAAATTAAGTACTTAACCCGAGGTACCATTGTACTTTGTTGGAAGCCGCCCAGAGTGGCTGGGGAAACCCAACCAGATGGGCGGGATATACATAATAAATTATTATTATTATTATTATTATTATTATTATTATTATTATTATTATTATTATTATTATTACCGTATTTGCAAACATCAGGATTTGAACATCGCAGCCAAGTATTGGTCCCTGAGGGCTCCGCCCTCCCGACCCTACCAAGGCATCCCATTGGCTGGAATCTTTGCCTGGGGAGCAAGCCAGCAAGAAGATTCCATATGCTGACCCAGACCCTGTATTGTTTGCACTGACTGGCAGCTGCTCTCCAGAACTCAAAGCAGGAAACCCCCTGTTCCCTCTTGCGTCAGCACAGAGATAAAAATACTCACCACCCCAACAGAGCCAGGAAGGGGCTCTTCACTGTCTGAGCTTGACCAGGTGCTGAAAATGTCCACTGGGCCTGTAGGAGACAGCCAGGTGGGGGGAGGATGTAAAGGAGAAAAAGGTGAGAGCTGAAAAAATTAAGAGCCTCTTTCTCATATATATATAAATGTTTTATTAAATTTTATGTTTTACAAATTCAGAATATTCATTTAAACATCTTTAAAATATCAACGACTTCCCTTCTTCTCCTTCCATGGATCATTCTGCAAATCATAAATCCCTGCATATTTTACATAAACTAAACAATTCAGCATTCCATTATTACATCCATCAGAACTTATTGACCCTGCTGAATTTAACTAAATGCTGCCAATGTTTTCAAATGTACACGATACCCCCATATATTCAGTAAACATTTCCCAATCTTCTTTAAATGTATGTTCTTCCTGTTCTCTTATTCCAGGGGTCTGCAACCCGCGGCTCCGGAGCCGCATGTGGCTCTTTTACATCTTTGCCGCGGCTCCGGGGCGGATACTAGCGAGGGGAGGAGGCGCATTGTGCGCCCCGACACTCCTCACTGTGGCGGGCGCTGTACTGGCTGTGACGTCGCATGGGGGCGGTGCGTGCGTTAGTCATGCACCGTCCCGACGTCACCTTCCCGCCCGCTGTCAGATCGCAGCTCCGGAGATATATTTGTTTTAAATGTCGCAATGGTTTTGCGGCTCTCAGTTGTTGTTTTTTCTTCGGAAACGGGTCCAAGTGGCTCTTTTTGTCTTAAAGGTTGCAGACCCCTGTCTTATTCTATATGTAGAGCCTCTTTCTAAGCCAGCAAAATAGTGGGGGCGGGGGTTTCTGTGGTGGCTCCCCACTGGTGGGGAAAGGGAGTTAAAACAAGACTTACCATCATCTTGGTCAAATATGACCCCTGTAGAGAGAGATAGAGAGAGGCAAAGAGGCTTTATTATTACTTATTTCATGAAACGTCTACGCCATTCGATTGTTTTAAAAAAGCCCTCACTGTGGTTTGCAAAAAGGTTTGCAAAAATGTTAAGACTGTCACAGGCCCACCCCAGAGGGAACAGCTAGCAGAGTTAGCCCCACCCCAGCAAGGCCACCACTTACCCAAGGATGCCAACAAGGCCAAACCTAAGAGGGCAAGGAACCCGAACAGCCATTTTGTCCTGGGAAGGCCACCGTCGTCGCCCTCGAAGGCCTCCGCGCCTCGATCTCTGCCGGCCCCTGGCAGAACGGGGGGCGCGTCCCAACCCTTGCGCCTGCGCAGGCCTTCGACGTCACGCTCCTTGGACGCCTCTTCCCCACTGCTGGAAGTGTTCCCTTCCTCCTCCCCCAAAGGGCCTGGGAAGGGAAAGGAGAGGAAAGAAGAGGGCAAGAAATGAGGATCAAAATATCGCGTCATCTGGAGAAAACAGGCTCACCTGTGGCCGCTCGCCTATGGCGAGGGTGAAATTGCTCCAAGCAAAGAAGCTTTTACAGGTTGCGGATGGAGAGGTGGCGAGTCACCCTCTTTGCTCCTGAACCCTGAACTCTCTTCATGGAAATTCAACATAAAGGTAGAAAATACCTCTGAACCTCACGGTTTCTGCTCCACATCCTCCTCAATTAGAATTTGCTCTTGAACTGCAAGAATACCTTCAGCTTGCCAGGATGAAGTGAGAGCGAGTGAACACCTGTAAGCAAGAGTCTCTGGCGACCCTACAGAGCTAAGGTTTTGTTTGCTGTTCCACCTACTGTTGCTTCCTGGATATGTCCACCACTAGAATGTGGGACGCGGGTGGCGCTGTGGGTTAAACCACAGAGTATAGGACTTGCCGATCAGAAGGTCGGCGGTTCGAATCCCTGCAATGGGGTGAGCTCACGTTGCTCAGTCCCTGCTCCTGCCAACCTAGCAGTTCGAAAGCACGTCAAAGTGCAAGTAGATAAATAGGTACCACTCTGGCGGGAAGGTAAATGGCGTTTCCGTGCGCTGCTCTGGTTCGCCAGAAGCGGCTTAGTCATGCTGGCCACCATGACCCGGAAGCTATACGCCGGTTCCCTCGGCCAGTAAAGTGAGATGAGCGCCGCAACCGCAGAGTCGGCCGCGACTGGACCTAATGGTCAAGGGTCCCTTTACCTTTAGAATGTGGCCCCCTGAAAGCTGCCCACAAAGAAATGCGGCCCTCAGACCCGACAAGAATCTCTGCCCCACCTAAGTCCTTAAGCACACCTGTCCAGACACTAACTTGAAGCCTAAAACTCATGCAATTGCTTGCATTTGTGTTCTGTTTCCTTGCCCTCTGCACTTCCTCTATTTCTTCTTCCGGCAGCCAAAATGTAGATGTGTAGGCTGCTTGGGGCAGAGATCTGTCAAAGGCCTCCGCATTATTCCACAAAGAACTGCCGATGCTGATGGCATTAAGTCACCTGCTTTGTGAATGAAGACAGTTCCCTGTGGGACAGGCACAGATCCTTCCTCAGCCTCGCAGGTGCTGGCCTCCTTTGCATGCGACAGGACAGCCTCTGGGGTCTTGACTACTGTGGGGGTTTCTTCAGAACTGGGGTCCACCACCACCCCAGGACCCTGGATCACAAGAGAGAGATAAGGATGCTTGTAAAATTGGCATTGTTCTCAAATTGTGAATGTGTGTGTGTGTGCCTACTTCCTGGCAACCTCATATCCAGTGTTGCTTGAGAGTTCTAAGATACAAAAAAAAAATTGGTGCAGCTTTAAAAGGTTCAGTCTGCCATCTTGGTTCAAAATGGTGCCCAACCAAAATATTGCTCAAAAAAAGATACGCTAATATGCCTAGATTAAAATGTGAAGTTAGTAATTAGTAAGGAAAGATAATAAGAATATATAGATGATTTGAGAAGATTGTAGAATGCAAAGATTATTTTAAATTTTATAATGTGGAGGAAATCGAGTGGGGGCGGAGGGAAGTGGGAGGAAGGAGAAAAGAAGAATAGGATGGATTGAGGAAATATAAATGTAAATGTATAGGGGGATGGGAAAGAAATGGTGTTGGCTTTGGTACATCTGTATTGTAATGTAATATAATATGTGAAAACCAATGAAAAACAAAATGGTGCCCAACTGTATCCAGGTAAGAGGAGCCATCGTGCAAAATTTGGTCAGGCCAGTTTCTTTGTACAGTAATGGCTTTCGTTGGCCAATTACCGCCATTTACATGTCCAAAGCACTGCCGCCAACTCCAGGAGGCCCTCGGTGCCTGGTCACCCACAAAATTTTCACTGTGGGCGCTTGGCCTACTGCCGCCCGCTGCCTTACCTCCGGGGTGCATCTGTGGCCGCAGCAGGCCCCAACAGAAGAGGGCCTGTGTGGATCGTTTGGCTAATTGCCAAATGGAATTGGGTTCAAAGAGGAACGAAGCCCCAAAGTTGGAGAATTCTCATATCCATGCAGAGAATTAAGCGAATGCTCTACCTTCTGACTGGCGCCGTCTGCATCAGGGCGGTCGACGAGGGTTTTGCTTTCGTCGAGAGGGGCTGTCCAAAAAGATGTCTGTGTTAAAGCTAGTAAACGAATGCGTTTATTATGTTCATCTGCATCCAGGGCATAGCTGTCAACCTTCCCTTTTTTTGCGGGAAATTCCCTTATTCCAGCGCCGCTTCCCGCTGCTATCCCGGATTGTTAGATATCCCGTAGACTGTCCCCGGGACAGGTGAGGCTGCTGATCCCTTATTTTCAAATCTGAAAGTTGACAGCTATGATCCAGGGTGGGGAACCATTTTCAAAGCCAGAGGCCCGCATTCCCTTCTGGGCAACTTCCGGGGGGGGCGCGCATGCCAGGAGTTGGCAGGGCCAGAAGCAAACCTGGACGCAGCAAGGGGTGTCAGGGTTCAAGGACACATTTCAGCCAGGCAAAAACACCCACGGAAGGTGCAAAGAAGGACTGGTGAGGGGCGGGGCCTAGAGAAAAGGGGGCATGGCCTGTGAAAGGGGGTGTGGCCTGGTGAAAGTTCCAAGGGCCAGAGAGTAAGAGGGCTAGAAGGGGTGCATTCAGCCCTCAGGCCTGAGATTCTCTCTCTCTCTCTCTCTCTCTCTCTCTCTCTCTCTCTCTCACACACACACACACACACACACACACACACACACACACCACTGTAACCAAACAGGGTCTGATGAAAATACCAGGTATCCTCCATCACTGAAAATACCGTATTTTTCGCTCCATAAGGCGCACCTGACCATAAGGCGCACCTAGTTTTTAGAGGGGGGAATCAAGAAGAAAAAATATTAGTCAGTCCCTTCTCCCTCCTGGGGAAAAGCCCCCAAGAGCGGTGCACTCTTTAAAGGGTGGGCGGCTCCTGCTGGTTTTTCTACGAGGTGGGGAATCCGTGCACCCTTTAAAGAGCGCGCGGCTTTTGCGTGCTTTTGCGGGAGGTGAGGGAATTCCCCCGCCTCGTAGAAAAGCCCACAGGAGCCGCGCACCCTTTAAGGAGTGCGTGGCCCCTGCGGGCTTTCCTACAAGGAGGGAGAAGGGACTGACTGGCCACGTCAGTCCCTTCTCCTTCCTGGGGAAAAGCCCGCAAGAGCCCGCGCGAAGCTTGTGTGCGACGCTTGGGGGCTTTTCCTGCTTGCTTCCCCCCTGCATTCGCTCTATAACACGCACACACATTTCCCCTTACTTTTTAGGATGGAAAAGGTGTGTCTTATGGAGCGAGAAATACAGTATGCTTCTGTGATGGCCTGGGAATCCGAGTCAGAGGATGAACCGGAGGAATCCCAGCCTGCACAGGAGTCCCCGCTCCAGGGCCGGCTGAACTGGGGCAGGGCCTTGATTCTGAGGCGCCTGCACCTGTGACGGATCCTCAGGAGCAGGCACCAGGTGAATCCATTCTGGCTCCAGAGGTAGTTGAGGACTCAGTGCCTACAGGTGAGTCTCCCCCTGGGCCCAGTAACCCTTCAGCCTCTCCTGAACTGCAGAGGCTCAGGGCAGAGAGGCGAAGGGAACTGGTTTCTCCCAGGAGGAGTGCTCGCCTTAAGGCCAGGAGAGGTGGGGCTCCTGGGGGCTGGGACCGCCCCTGGCCTCAGAGAAGATAAAGGCCAGTCAGCCCGGTCCCAGGTTGCGGGAGCAACGTTGTTGTTGAGTACCTGCTCCTGTCCGGACCCAGACCTGACCCTCCAGTGTTCCTGTCCCCGCTCGGCTTCCTGCTTCGGACCTCGCCCCACTCCTTGCGAACTGTTTCTAGGCTAGTGACCCAGGACCGGATTACGACTTTGTCAACGGTAACCCTCCCCCCGGGACCAGCACAGCTTCCCTCCTTCAGAGGAGTGGGGTGAGCCGGACCCCATATGCAAAGCAGCTTCCTCATTATATACTGAAGTCCAGCTTGCAATATCATGCAGAGGATTACAAAGCAACAAGGGCGGCCAGGGTATGCCGGGTGGGGTTAGGAAAGGGCATGGAAGGCAGCTAAGGGTTTGGGCCTCATCCATTGCTACATACCTTGTGTCTCTTCCTGGGCCGGCTCAGACCCAGCCTGCGTTTCCAAGCCAAGGTCTTCTACAGGTAGAGCCTGGAGGGGCAAAATGCAATGAAAATAGAGGTCACAAAATTCCCCTTTTTCTCATAAAGTGGCATGGGGGAGGATCTTCACCTGGCCCCTCCCCTGTGGGCCAACTTTGGCAGGTGAGTGGGGCAACCCAGTTGTCAGTCACTCAACATCATGATGGTTGTGTGTGGTTTTTGTAGCTATGTTTTTATTTATTTATTCTTGGATACAGAAAAAGAAGAAGAAAACAGCTGTGATAAAGTATCAGAAATAGAGATTTATTTATTTTTTAAAGCAAAATACCCAGGCGTGCAGGAGGAATTCAACTGCCCATGGTTGATCATTATATTTGAGGTGCATATTTTTAGGACCCACCTTGTTTTCCTGACTGTAAGTTGTTTAAAAGTGTTTGTAATATTGTGCCTTAATGTTGCAACCCACCCTGGGACCTTAGGGTGGAGAGTGGAATAATAATAATAATAATAATAATAATAATACAGGTAGACTGCCCCTGCCCACCCATCAAAGTCCATCACAAGGAGCTCCCGCAAGGGCTTGATGGCCAGCTGGTTGCCAGGTGCTTGGGAACTGCAGCACAGGGGGATTTTCTGCCTCCCTAGCACCAAGCGCTTTGCACTGAGCCCCCCGCTAAAATGAGAAGGGGCAAGCTCCAGTTCTGCAGGGGTTTCCAACGGAAGCCACTTGGCGCTGCAGGAGAAAGGCACAGGGGTCCCTCTCTTGCTCATCAGCTGCCTGGCGGAAGCGGGAGAAGATGACCTGCTTTGAGCTCCCGACTGTCTCTTCGTGGTCACCTGGGCACCCGCCCCACATATGATGCCTGGAGCAAGTGGGCGTGGTTTAGGGGGAAACGGTCCTGTGGGCCAAAGGGTGGGTGATGGCGGGCAGGATGCAGCCTGGTGAAGAAAGGAAGGGATCATAGCTCAGTATGTACTCTACCTATGGAAGGCTCCAGCTTCAATTGGCTGCATCTCCTTGCCTTCTGAGGGGCTGCAGGTCCCAAGTGGGTGGGGCCAGAGGCAAAAGTGGGCGGAGCAACTGATGCAAATATTACCTGTGTACAGTATAGGTAAAGGTGAAGGGACCCCTGACCATTAGGTCCAGTCGTGGCCAACTCTGGGGTTGCAGTGCTCATCTCGCTTCATTGGCCGAGGGAGCCGGCGTGCAGCTTCCGGGTCATGTGGCCAGCATGACTAAGCCACTTCTGGTGAACCAGAGCAGCGCACGGAAACGCCGTTTACCTTCCCGCCGGAGTGATACCTATTTATCTACTTGCAATTGACATGCTTTCGAACTGCTAGGTTGGCAGGAGCAGGGACCGAGCAACGGGAGCTCACCCCATCACGGGGATTCGAACCGCCGACCTTCTGATCGGCAAGTTCTAGGCTATGTGGTTTAACCCACAGCGCCACCCGCGTCCCTACCTGTGTACAGTAGACCAGTTAATAAACAAACACACACCCCAATCATCCATCCAAAGGAGGATTCCACCCCCTCAAGAGGGTACAAAGCAACGCTGGTGAGGGGTGTGGCCTGAGGGTAGAGGGTGTGGCCTGGAAAGATGGGTGTGGTGTAGGTAGATGGGTGTTTCCTGGAAAGAGGGTGTGGCCTCAGGAAAGGGGTGTGGCCTGGAAAGATGGGCATGGCCTAGAAAGATGGGTGTGGCCCAGGGAGAGTGGGCGTGGTTTGAGGACGCCCTCCAACCCTGAGGTTGCCCACCCCCTTCAAACCTCACTGCCAACTTCAGGGATGGGACATCTTCCAAGGGATGCTGATGGACTCCAGCTTCCATCAGCCCCAGGCAACAAGGACAACAGTCCAGGAGGATAGCCACTCCAGCCCCTAAAAACCTGGAGGGCTGCAGCTTTCCCTACCCACCCACCCCCCAGCCTACAGAGAAAAGAAGCAGCTTCTAGGGCCCACCACGGACCCCAACTAGTGTCCTCCTCACAAGAGGTCAGGCCTGGGAGACCCAAAAGCCTACGAGGAGAGGGCTTTTGAGGAGTTTGTTATGCTGTCCCACCCCTGATGTCTTGCTCCTGCCCCACAGAGCCTTCACCCCTCTCCCCAGTTTGCTTTCGGCTCCCGCTCACCTCAGAGCCGGCAATCACCCAGCTGTTGTTGTCCGACTCCCGGGAGTCTGAATTGTCAGTCATTCTGGCTCATGCCACGGGGCGTTGGGTCAGCGGGGCCTCCTAGGGATGCAGACCCCGAATCGGATGGGGGGCTGGAAGGAACAGAAGACGTCTGAAGAGAGAAAGAGACAGAGGAGGTTCTTTATCAGCCTCGAGTACAAAGGAGGCGAGGCCGGCCGCTTCACGTCGGGGGAATTTGACTGGCAAATTAATTTGGGCAGAGAAATTGGGGCACAGGCTGCAGATGAGATGCAAAAACCTGGAACAGGCCAGCCGGCCTCTCTGTCTCCCATCCCAGCACAGTCTGCACTGACTGGCAGCAGCAGATATGGTCTCTAACCCCATGAATAAAGATCCCAGGTCTCATGGTTTTGAGCAAACAGCTGGTTTAAAATAGGAGCATCGGAACAGAGTCAGACTGATGGGTCCATTTAGCTCAGCATTGCCTACACTGACTGGCAGCAGCTCTCCAGGGTTTCAGGCAGGGCAGATTCCCAGCCCTACCTGGAAATAGCAGGGACTGAACCCGGGACCTTCTGCATGCAAACTGAGCTAAGGCCCTTCTCCATATCCTTTCAACTTGGCAGCTCAGGGAAGTTACCTAGCTTTAAGAATCATATAAAATAAACTCCTTTGCCAGTTTCCTCCATTCAACACTATTTTGCCCTTGGGGAAAAACGACTCTTTTCCCTGCCACCTCCCCAAGTGTGAGGACGTGTATACACACCTCCTACCCCAGGAAGTAGGGATGCAGGTGGCGCTGTGGGCTAACCCACAGAGCCTATAACTAGCCGATCAGAAGGTCGGCGGTTCGAATCCCCCATGAAGGGTGAGCTCCCGTTGCTCGGTCCCTGCTCCTGCCAACCTAGCAGTTCGAAAGCATGTCAAAGTGCAAGTAGATAAATAGGTACCACTCCATCGGGAAGGTAAACGGCGTTTCCGTGCGCTGCTCTGGTTTGCCAGAAGAGGCTTAGTCATGCTGGCCACATGACCCAGAAAGCTGTACGCAGACTCCCTCAGCCAATAATGCGAGATGAGCGCCGCAACCCCAGAGTCGGCCACCATGGGACCTAATGGTCAGGGGTCCCTTTACTTTACCCCAGGAAGTGCCCAGAGGTGACAATTCCTGAGCTGATTGTTGGTCAAGGAAAGCCTAATCCCATCACCAGACCTGCCAAGGGGTCCAGACATGCAAAGGAAGTTCTATTGTACTTTGGGTGGTGGGACTTCAGAGGTGTTTGCCTATGCTAATCTTATACCTGGGTCTTGCCCTGCCATGCCTGCTTATGCTAATCTTGTACCAAGGACTTGTTTGGACATGTTTGCCAAGGTTAAACTAGTGTAACCCCTGTCTACCTCTCCCCTTTTGTGACATGTCAGTGATGTAGCAATGATGCTGTACAAACTGTATTCTGGGATATGGTGGGAAACTTTTAAAAGTCCTTGTCACTCCATCCTCGGGGTTCAAAATTCTTCTTTGAACTTGTTGCGCAATAAACTTTGGTCTACAGCTATTTGCTCCGGTTGGTGGCTGGACTCCTTCCTTTATTCCGCAATTTTAAGGTCATAGATATGTAATAAATGTTCATAAATGTACCAAGCAAACACGTACATAAATATATAAACCACATGTCTGAAAACTCCACAGAAAAAAAGTCCTGAACAAATTGACCTCAATTATTTCTTTGCAAGGTCAAAGTGGGAAACCTCCCCATTGTCTTTTCCCTTCACAAATCCTGTCTTAAGGGCACATTTAAGATATGAATAGGGTGTGAGCCTGTGACCTGGCCCAGAACTAAGTATTTATCATTACAAAAGACTAGCGAGGCTCCCCAGGCAATCCAATCAAGTGACCATTAAACAGGTAATCTGGCAGGCAGGAGGTAAACAAAGCACTCAGATTTCAGCCCTTCTGTGACCTATGTATGATGTTCCTGGGGGTGGTCTTGATCTACAGGGTGGCAATTTCGAAAGTCTATATAAGGCCTTCGTGCCATTGTTCTGGGTTCCTCCTCCTGCGTGTGGTGAGCGAGGACCCTGTTGCAACAGATCAATAAAGATCAGGCTTACTAGCTGCTTTGCTTCTCAATATTCTCTGGTTGGCCTCTGTTATTTTCTCCTACCAATAGGGAACCTACGTAAGGACTCTATATGGGCTCTTGGATATCCCATAAGGGAAAAAGGGCAGATTTTGTTTACAACAGCAGGGACTCGCGACGAGATGGGTGACTGAGCAGCCTCACACCTGTCACAAAATCACAGGGTTGTACCCAATGCTGGTCTTTAGAGTAGACCCATTGAAATTTAATGGCTTTGACTAACTTAGGCTGTATAAACACCGTACATTTAAAGCACTCACCCCAAAGAATTCCCAGCACTCTTAAAAAGCTAAAGGGACCCCTGACCATTAGGTTCAGTTGTGACCGACTCTGGGGTTGTGACGCTCATCTCGCTTTACTGGCCGAGGGAGCCGGCATACAGCTTCCGGTCATGTGGCCAGCATGACTAAGCCGCTTCTGGCGAACCAGAGCAGCGCATGGAAACGCCGTTTACCTTCCCGCCAGAGCGGTACCTATTTATCTACTTGCACTTTGACATGCTTTCGAACTGCTAGGTTGGCAGGAGCTGGGACCAAGCAACAGGAGCTCACCCTGTCGCCGGGATTCGAACCGCCGACCTTCTGATCGGCAAGTCCTAGGCTCTGTGGTTTAACCCACAGCGCCACCCGTGTCCCAGCACACTTAGGAAACTACAACTCCCAGGATTCTTTGGGGGGGGAATGTACTTCAGATGCGTGGTGTATATACAGCCTTCGAGTAGAATGCACTCTTTGTGTAGAACGTGCAATAGATAAAACTCATTTATCTCTGTGGGTCTACTCTGAAGTGGATTGAGTTGGAGCCAACCCAGAATAGACAAGAACATCTTCCCTTATTAGTTTGGAAAGGAGGGGGTGGGTGGGCAGTTTTAAAAACGTCTTCCAGGCAGAGCTATTCTCGCTGGAAAGAGAATGTGGGGAATCCAAATTATGCCGGACTCTGAACGAGGTCTGATTACCAGCACTCCAAAGCAAGGAGAGGAAGAGGAAACAAGTCCTCTTGCAAACACAAAAATGGGGCCCTGGGACAAAGTTGGTGGGTTTTGGCGGGTGACACACACAGGTGTCAAATGAATAGGTACTCCAGACCTCCCCTTAAAAAAAAAAAGATGCCCATATCTAAAAACCTCTATTTTTCTTCTCTTCTTAAATGTAATAAAAAGAAATCGAAACAAAGAATTAAAACCTTAAACCATAAAGATTCCCAGTTTGGAAACAAAATTACAAAGATCCAATGCAGCTCTAAAAGGATAATAAAGTATTGTCTCTTACAAATATTCCCTTTGGTATTGGTAAGAATAAAAACAACCTCCACTTGTGATCTCCCTTATTGTTGAGAATCTGGCGTTTGCATATATTGTGGCACTGAGTGAGCCTGCAACTCAATATTTTGTAGAAGAAGTAAAATCATGGCATATATGAAAATTAAAAATGGTCGTTCGAGCTCTGCCCATTATGTAGTTTTAGTTTATGAGACATCACTTCAAGTAGGGCAATCTGCCAACCCTTAAACACAGCAATCCTGATGATTAAGATTAAAGGTCTTCCAGGATTTAGCAATGCAGCCGGCCTGGTCTGCAGTTAAAAGATGAGAAGTAAGTTCTTTACTTTCCAAGAGCTCTTCTCTCCCCTCCATGCAATACATTCTTGTTAAATATCCCCCCCCCACCCCTTCCCTGTAGGGAACAGCTGTCAGAACAGGAGACTGACTTTGGGGAAAAGGAGGGAGGTATTTTTAGTCGCTTTTAATACACTTTAGCAGGTGGAAATTGCTGAGCAGACCAGCCCAGACTGCTCTGGAGGGACACGACAAGATCTTTCTTGCCTCCTGCCCCAGAATCCATTTAACTCCAAGCTTTTCGACTCCCATAGGGAGCTCCAGAAGGGGAATAATTTCTGCTCCCCCAACAACAAGTAACTCTCCACTCTTCCTTTTTTGGACACAGGGTTTTAAACAGCCTTGCTGGTTTGGGTTCCCACCCCCTCTCTCCTGCTTGGCCCCCGTGGTTATAGGAAGGAAAAGCACCTTTTCCCAGAGAATTCCTGTTCTGGAAGTTTGAGGAAAAAGAAGGAAGAAAAAGGCTGCTGTTTTAAATGTTATCTTATTTTTTAAAAGCATGTACCCGTGGATGCTAACACTCACTGCAGGTGCATGTAATGTTTGCCATATTTAGGGTATAAATTAGACCCATCCGTTTCAAGAGTAAAACTGAGTTGGAGACAAGCCTCTCGAGGTAGGAAACCGTTAGTCCATTGGTCTATCTAGCTTAGTGTTGCTGACACGGACTGGCAGCTCTCCAGGGTTTCAGGCAGGACACGTGCCCAGCCCTAACTTGGAGATGCTGGGGATTCGAACCCAGGACCTTCTGCATGCAAAGCAGGTGCTCTGTCACTGTGCTACAGCCCTTCCGTTCCATTGAACTGGCATAGGAAACTGCCTTCTAGTGAGTCAGACCGTTGGTCTATCTGGATCAGCACTGCTGGCACTGACTGGCAGCAGCTCTCCCTGACAAAAATTGGGAGAAAAGAGAAAAGTTTTGGGGCAGGATCCTTGGAGTGAAATAGGCACTATTGTTCCTCTTTCAGAAGCCTAATCCCGTGGGACAAAGCTAATTCCCAACACCACACAATCACAAATCCCCAAAGTCACACTGCACCCCTAGTATGTACATATATTTCTGTGTCCTCTGATCCTGCTCTCAACGTACAAAGAGGCTGTGGTTTTACAGCAGCCATCAGAAGATGCAAGCAGGAAGCGGCCTTGTTTTGCTGCTCTCAACTTCTGCCCCCCCCCCAGCTCCGATGCCATAGCAACCCTGGCAGCGGTGCCCTTAATAGGAGATTTATGTGGGACAGCGGAACCTAGCCGGGCCGGATCCTTGGCGGCAGTGGCTACAGGCAGCCAAGCACCACCCGACACAGGCAGGGACAAAAATGGGCCTCTCTATACAACAACACTTTAAAAAAATAATTCATAGGACAAGAGAGTCTGCAGCGGTGTGGCGGTTAGTGTGTCGGACTATGACCTGGGAGACCCAGATTCAAATCCCCTCTCAGCCTGACCTCTCAGTCTGACCTACTTCACAGAGCTGTTGTGCAGGATAAGGGAGGGAGGGAGGGAGGGAGGGAGGGGGAGACCCATGTACACCAACTTCAGCTCCTTGGAGAAAAAAAGCAGGGTATAGCTGCAATAAGGGGGTTGGACTAGATGACCCTTGGGGTCCCTTCCAATTCTACATGAGGTCCTGGCAGCACTTCAGCAGGGATGTGAGAGGGCTTGTTGAAGGGCAGGAACCCGGAATGGTGCTTCCATCATACGTGAGCTGCCTGGTATCTTCAGGGCATCTCATAATGTGTTATAGCCAATGTGGAGCCCTCCACTACAACTCCCATCATCCGTGAGCAACTGGGCTATTCTGATGTTGGCTGATGGGAACTGGAGTCCAACAAGAGACGGAAGGGCTTTGTACCTCTGATCAGACCCTTCGTAGGTTTCGACGCAACCCATTAACAAAGCTCTTCCCCCTGGAAATAGCGTGAGTTGTGGATGCGAAACACGCACTGCTGCAGATAACTCAAGTTGTTGGGGCAAGTGGGGAGAGCTACAGCCCTTGTTGGACTCTCATAATTCCTCAGCAGTTGCCCTGGGGTCCTTGGAAGGAAGGGCAAGATATAAGTTTAATTTTAAAAATAAATAACAAGTCCAAAAGGATCTGCAGGGCCTGTCCCCACCCTCTCCCCTCAGCCATAGATCGCCACCTGGCCTGCCTTGCAAAGCTGTTGTGAAGCAGTGGTGGATTTCAAATCCCATCACCACACCCAACCCAAGCAGGAGGGGTGATGGGAGTTGTAGTTCAGCAACTTTTGGAGAGTTCCCTCCCTCCCCCCCATCCACTTTTTACAGATCGCTTAGCAAAAGGACACACATTACTTTCACATTCAAAATAAGGGCATAAAGGCTTATTATATTAGCAAATAGTGCAAAGTAATAAAACAAAAACTGGTAATAATATGATAGCCAGGGATTTGGGACCTGTTGACCTCCGGAGATGTCGCTAGATTAGAATACCCATCCTCCTTGACCACTGGTCGTGCTGGTCGGAGCTGGTGGGAACTGGAATCCCTAAACATCAGTAGTTTGCCCACCTGCCATAAGGTTTAGGGTGCAACCTTGTAAGCACTGACCTGGTAGGAAGTCCCATTGAACTGAATGGGTGCTTACTTTCTGGAGTAAACATGTGCAGAACTACAGTTACTGAGTTTTTACAGTCATGGGATGCGGGTGGCGCTGTGGGTTAAACCACAGAGCCTAGGACTTGCCAATCAGAAGGTTGGTGGTTCAAATCCCGGCGATGGGGTGAGCTCCCGTTGCTTTGTCCCAGCTCCTGCCAACTTAGCAGTTCGAAAGCACGTCAAAGTGCAAGTAGATAAATAGGTACCACTCCGGTGGGAAGGTAAACAGCGTTTCCATGCACTGCTCTGGTTCACCAGAAGCGGCTTAGTCATGCTGGCCACATGACCCGGAAGCTGTACGCCGGCTCCCTCGGCCAGTAAAGCGAGATGAGCGCCACAACCCCAGAGTCGGTCACGACTGGACCTAATGGTCAGGGGTCCCTTTACCTTTACAGTCATGAAATCAATGATTTGGAAGTCCTCCAGCCCAACCCTCAGCAATGGAGGAATCGCAGCTGAATAATCCCTGACAGATAACTGAAGGTGTGAAGCTCTTGGGTATTCAAAAAGTGGTGTGTGTGAATGTTGAGCATGACAGCCAAAAAAACAAAACCCTAAGGATTCCAGGGGCTTGCAAACCCAAGAGTATACAGAACCGGTGAATAAATTCTTCTGGATTAATTCATGCAGGGTATGTGGGCACGACTGTGTATGCGGGTACAATATATGGGCACAGGTGGGCTTTTGTGATGGGACAGAGGAACCTCTCCCAAGTCCAGCATCGCCCCTCTCAAACCACGCATAAAAGGATCTGGTCTAGACCCTTCCCTTTGCATTGATCGCTGGGCGAAATGCCAGTTTCCCAGTTTTGGAACCAAAGTTACCTGCAATAGATCCAAGGCAACGGTGGTTGGGGGAGGGGAGCACATTTGGAGGGATCTCAAAAAACGAGTTCCATCGAAACTGCAAGACTACGCGATAGATAGATATCCCGAAAAAGCAGCAACTCTCTCCCAGAAGACAAGGTGAAATCACAATCAACCCACCCCTCTAAAGGGGCAACGGGAGAGCTGATGGGGCTGTTGCCATGGTAACCCTGCATCAGCGACCCTCGGGGATTCCCTCTGCTGGACCAAATCATGCCGCCGCCGCCCCCCTCTTCCTTTGAGAGCTGCTTGCCCTAAAATTGCCCCCCCCTCCGGTGACCCATACCATTACCCCACAACAACCCCCTTCCTCTTCACCTTTCCATCCATCCTTACCTTAGTCTAGGGGGCTCTCGGATCTGGAAGTTTTTTTAGAAGGTGGAGAAAAGGAAGGCTGCGGACGCCTCTTAACTTTGTATAGGAAACTTCGCAGCACTTTACCCTGCGGGGGGGAGGAAAGGGGCGGGACCTCGGGGCCAGGCAGCCTATCCCAGGGGTTGGGGGAAATGAGTTTGGCCAATGAAGGGGAAGAGAGGGCAGGACGGGGCGGGCGGGGGGAGGACAGCACTGTTTTGGAATCCGCAATGCAATCAATCCTGAGGCCGGGAGATAAATGTGTGCGAAACCCCCTAAATGGGGAGAATTCTGGATCGGGAAGGAGGAGCACGCTTTGCGGGGAGATGACTAGGGATCCCCCCCCATAAGATCAGCCTTCCTAAGGCTTGGGGGTGTGTGTAGAGAAGGGGTGCCCCCCCCCAGTCAGCCATTTAGGATCCTAGCGAGCAGGCATGACTAAGCTGAGCGAGGCTGGAGAGAGACAGCAACAGCTGGGAGCCCAAGCAGAGAGGCGGGTTCTCCTGCCATCCCAGGGACACTTTATACCAGCCCTTGGCGAGAGCACTGTGCTGGTAACGCCAGAGTCGCAGGTTCGACCCCCGTATGGGGCAGCTGCGTTGCAAGGGGGTTGAGCTAGATGACCCTCAGGGTCCCTTTCAACCCTGGAATTCTACAGTTCTGGGGAAGGACTAGGGGACCTGTCGCTGCCACCACCCCCTTGCAGGCTGGCTGCTAGGAGACCCTCGCTGCTGACGAATTCTGACTCTAAAGTCAGAACATGGGGAGAGCGAATGGCCCATTGATCCAGTATCCTGTTCTCACAGTGGTCCGCCAGGTGCCCCAATGGGAAGCCCAAAAGCAGGATTTCCACTTGCTGGGAGTAACTGGTATTCAGAAGCCTGACTGCATCCAACTATGGAGGAACAGCCGTCGTAGTGAGTTGCTCTCTCCCCCACAAATCTGCCAGCTTTGTTAATAATAAAATAATTTATTATTTATACCCCGCCCATATGGATGAGCTTCCCCAGCCACTCTGGAAGGCTCCCAATTGAGTGTTAAAAACAAGACAGCATTAAATATTAAAAACTTCCCTAAACAGGGCTGCCTTCAGATGTCTTTTAAAGATAGGATAGCTACTTATATCCTTCACATCTGAAGGATAGGTGGGCGCCACTACCGAGAAGGCCCTCTGCCTGGTTCCCTGTAACTTGGCTTCTCGCAATGAGGGAACCGTCAGAAGGCCCTCGGCGCTGGATCTCAGTGTCCAGGCTGGACGATGGGGGTGGAGACGCTCCTTCAGGTATGCAGGACCGAGGCCGTTTAGGGCTTTCAAGGTTAGCACCAAAACTTTGAATTGTGCTCGGAAACGTACTGGGGGCCAATGCAGATCTCTCATTATTTCCCTGCAACGCTGCTTCTAAGGAGCGTAGCGGCTTCCACTCTCAAAAACAAACTTGCAAGGCAGACTCAGCTGAAAGATGCTGACCCGGGATCATCAGGTGAGCTTTGGAATTCCAGAGGGATTGAATCCACGGAGCAAGCTCTGCAAGGAGGTGAAAAGGGGATCCCAGAATTGATCAGCAGCCCCGATACCTGATCTGCATCCTATAGCTGCATGTTGGCTCTGTAACCGGACGGTTTCTAGCTTGAGAGATGTGTTTGGCTGAGAAAGCAAAACAAACCCTTCAGGCCGGGTGATTCAGCCTTCGCCATCCTGAGAAGGGGGTGCAGACATACCTGCCACACCTAAATCTCTGCAACATTCACCTCCACCCCTGCAGATTTCAGCAATAGATGGGACATTTTGACAAGCCAGCAAGATAAATCTCAACCCAGGTCACCTGCACCCAAGTGAACAGTTCGCTTTCTATATATATATATATATATGTATATTAGCATTCATTTATGTAAGGTTTTTGGAGTGGTCGCAGCACTCACAATAACCGTGAACGGGAGGTCAATTTTATCTCATAAAACCACCTTGCAGTCTGTCTCAAGGAAGCACAGGAAGTTCTCTAATCCACTCAGCAACCTTGTAAAGGGAGGTAAAATTTTATCACAGATGCACACCTGTTGCGGAATCAGACAAGAGCCTCTTTCGCCATGACATTTCGCCAGTGTTCTTTTCTGTACCGTGGAAATGGTTCACTCTGTCCTCTCCCTCCCACCCACCTCCCTTAACTTCTATTCCACTGTTCGAAGATTTACCCTAAAAGCACCGCAGCCAGAACCCCACCCCCCCAAACCAGAGATTTTGCCTTTAGATTTCTAAGTCCCCTGCCAGCCTCTTTCTTGGCAAACCTCAGCAGTCCAGGCTTGTCCTTGGCAGCCGAGTGGGTTTGGGGCTTTGTTTCTTCAGCAACCAGCCCGGGGGGGGGGGTGCTTTGAAAGGAAGCAGAAGCTGAGAGGTGACACTTTGTCAAGGAAGTAAACAAGGGGGGGGGGAGAAATGCCTTTTTGTGTGTGCGTCTCAGTAGACTCTGTTCTTTCAAGCCTCGGATTGTCCAAATGGGCATTTTTGTGGCTTTGGCATGTGGAGGGGACGCTTAGCCAGCATGTTTGGGGGTCAGAAAAATAGAGCAAGGGCATGAAGGTCTGGTTTGTAAATTTTGTGTGCTTATTCCAACAGGATCAGATCAATTGTCTCTCTAATCAAGCATCCCGTTTTCGACAGTGCACAGAGGGAGTTGCCTTCTACAAAGGCAGACCACTGGCCTATTTAGTTCAATACGGCCCACACTCATACGCAGCTCAGGAGGGGGAGGCAGTATATGCCTCTGAATACCAGCTGCCAGGAATCACAAGCAGGGAGAGTTGCTGTGAGCTTCCCGTTGAGGCAGCTGGCTGGCCACTGGGGGAAGAGGATGCCGGACTAGATGGACCACTGGCCTGATCCGGCGAGGCCCTTTGCATGTTCAAATGCAAACCACTAATTCATACACACATGAATGTATAAGTAACCAGGTCATTGCTCCCTCCCACTAGCTTTCAAACTGAGTTTATAACAGCACGGTACAAAATGTTTCTTTTAATACGTTCACATAAAAACCAAGAGAGTGGGAGATAGAGGCTGTAGGTGTCTGTATGTGTCTCTGTGTGTGTAAACACACGCGCACACACAGCAATGATTCCCTACGCCCCCAGATTCCCTTCTTTTCAAAAAGTCCAGCAGGACAAAACAGATTTTTTTTTAAGAAAACAATTATCAAAATCACACCAGTAACCACTTGACCAAAACACACACACAAGTACAAAAAAATGTCTGGGTCTAAGGGAGAAAACAAACAAACCCGCCAATTTCTTTTTAAAAGTAAAAATTTAAAAAACCAAAAAGATGTCCAAGAGTGTTTTCCTCTTGCATGGCTCTCTTGAAATGCCCTCTGAAAGAGGTTCAGGGCAAGGGTGGTCCGTTCTCCGTTACTTGAGGGCCTGTCGACCTTCAAAATATCAACCCTCCCCACAGGGCCCAGGCTTTGGCTAACTCACACCTAGCAGTAGTTCTAGGAAAATGGGAAACTGAGGGAACCGCGCTGCATTTGAGGAGAGCGGGTGGTGGTCCTCTTCTAAGCAAACGCCAACGGAAGAGAGAGCATAGACACCCCCAGTGAAGATACTGGTCCAAACCGTGGTAGTTACTGCTCTCCAGTTTATGCTAAATTGCCATCTGCTGGGTATCTGCTGCCCAAGACTGGCTGTTCTGTGGCTTCGAACCGCAGGAGCGGCTGTAAAGAAAGCCCAGGAGGAGATGGAATGCTTGAAGGCTTGGGAAGAACAGCTCCAGGTTCCGGAGGTCACAGGAGGTCGAAAACTCTGTCCTGCCCTCCCACCAAATCCTTTCAATAACCGGGAGGCTTTGAAAATGTGCTACCCGTGTTCCTTGGACAGGCTGCAGAATCCACGGACGAAGCCGAAGAGTGTCTAGTAGTGCGGAGCAGGGATGCCACCACCTCCGACGCCCAGGCAGAGGGAAGCGGCTGCGGCTGCGGAGGCTCAGCCGTCGTTGGCGGCCACCAGCTGCCCCATGCCCTCTCGGATGTAGACCGACTGGATCTCCTTGGTCTTCAGGCAGAAGTCGCAGGCCCAGACGGCCGAGGCCTCGGTGGTCAGCAGCCCGTAGGCGTTCTCGGTCATCCCCGTGCACTCCCGGTGGAACCACTTCTGGCACGAGGCCTCGCACAGGATGGCGTCCTGGTCGTCGTTGACCTCGCTGCGGCACGCCCCGCAGGGGTACACCAGGCCGGGCGGGGGCTGGTGGCCCGAGTTCCCGGAAGCCTTGCTGGAGGGCGGGAGGCTGTTGGCTTCGGGCGTGCCGCCCCCGCCGTGCCCCGTGCTGTTGGGCGCAAAAGGGGGCTGGGTGCCGTTGATGGCTGCCGGTGAACCGCTGTGCTGCTCCTGGCTGAAGGTGCTGGGGGGCGGGTTGAGCGGCTTCCCGCCGCCGTTGTCTTCGCCGGCGCCGCCGCCGCCAGGGGGGAAGCTGGGGTCAGGCCCGGGGAAGGAGCTGGGGTTGGGGGGCAGGTTGGGGAGGTTCGGGCGCTGCATGGGGGACTGTCCGAACAGGTTGCCCGGCTGGTTGAAGCGCTGGGCCATTGGGGGCCCCCCGGGAGGGTTTAGGGCGGGCCCCGGGCCCATGTCGCCTCCGCGCGGGGGCTGCCCCATGGTTGGGGAGATCATGGGGCCGAAGCCGCCCATGGGGCCCTGCATCAGCTGCCCCCCGGGGGGGCTGAAGTTCTGGCCCAGGGGCTGGCCAAAGGGCTGGCCGCCAAAGCCCATCCCTCCGGACTGCACGTACCCGGGGTTCTGGGGAGGCATGTTGAAGGCGGGACCCATCTGGCTTGGTCCGAAAGGGGGCGGCTGCCTCCGCATGGGCTGCGGGCCCCCGCCGTAGCCGGGCGGCACCTGCGGCCCCATCGCCCCCTGCATGCGGAAGTTCCCAAAGGGTCCAGGGCTGCCGAGGAAAGGCGCGGAGGCAGAGCCGACTTTGGGGGCCCCGAAGTCATCCTCAAAGGGGTTCGACGCCACCAGGTGGTCCACCATGGGCGTGGGCGGGGGAGCAAATTCCGAGAGGTGGGAGTAGGCAGGGCCCTGGAAGGGAAAGATGTGCCACAGTTAACAGGGGGGACCTCTGCTGCGCGGATGAAACCAATCTGTACATTATGCCCAGGGAACTCTGGGCTGCTCCACCATGGGGCTGAAAACAGGGTCGTATTTCTCGACCAGCCTCGCCATCTAGGATGGCCATTTGATTTAACCAGGTTAATTCTTAATGTTTTCCCCCCCTATAACTCAATTGATCTTTTTTGGAAAATGACACCCTCCTCTCAACAAAAAAATATTGAGGTACAGTGGTGCCTCGCAAGACGAAATTAATTCGTTCCGCGAGTTTTGTCGTCTTGCGATTTTTTTCGTCTTGCGAAGCACGGTGTCGGAAAAGTTTTGGAAAAGCTTCAAAAATCACCAAAGTCTTCAAAAACCTCAAAAAAAGGCTACCACACCGCGTTCTAATGAGTTGCTCCTCGAAGTCAAGTCGCAACTGTATTAACGGTTTTAAGAAAGAGGAAACAAACTTGCAAGACGTTTCCGTCTTGCGAAGCAAGCCCATAGGGAAAATCGTCTTGCGAAGCAGCTCAAAAAACAAAAAACCCTTTCGTCTTGCGAGTTTTCCGTCTTGCGAGGCATTCGTCTTGCGAGGTACCACTGTATACAGTGAAGACACGGCATAAGAATTTAATTTAACCCAGAGCAACCAAAGAGAGGTTCGTAGGGTGGCAACCTAAGAACGGGGCCTTTTCTGCAGTGGCTCCCTATTTGTGGAATGTTGTCACTTGGCACATTCGTTTACATATCTCTAGACGCCAGGCGAAAAGGTTTCTCTTCAACCAGGCCTTTGGCTGATTGCGATCTGATGCCCTTTTAAATGTGAGGTGCGAGGGGGGATTAACTAGGTCGTCTCTGGTCTTATTTTTCATTATGTATTTTGTGTGTTTTTTATTGTAATATTGTGTTGTGAACTGCCCTGAGATCTATGGGTATAGGATGGTACACATAATAATAATAATATTAATAATATTAATAATAATAATAATAATAATATTAATAATATTAATAATAATAATAAAAATAAAAAATACAACTCAGGATGTCTGAAAAAGTGCAGGACTGTTTGTCTTATTCATGTAATCGATAAAAGAGTGTCAGTCAGTTGTAAATGACTTTTTGCATTTCTGCCAGCCGTATTTTGCTGGTCAATTTGTCTATGAGGATTAGTCACCAAATTATGTTAAGTTATTTCAATAAGGATGCCCCTTCCATGTCTTTCTAAAACATAAGGGCTATAGCAAGTCTAACTGCTAACAACAGTTAACTAATAAGAGATTTAAATGAGATATCTGCATTCTGAACCAGAGATATATTCAACAGGCTGAATGATTTGCTTGACTAATGATATTAGGTATCTCAATTAATGACCATATTTACTCGAGTCTAATGTGCCATCAAATCTAATGCACAATTTTCTGAACTTTGAAACAAAACAAAAAAAGTATTTCCTGGCGAATGTAAATGTGCCATCAAATCTAATGCACACCTTCATTTTTGCAACGTGATTTGGCCAAAAAAGATGAGCTTTAGATTTTTAGTAAATACGGTAATTCTTTCACAGCTACTACTTTAGCTTTAAGGCAGTTTCAAATCTGCTTTTTGATCAGGCAAGAAATTCACTTTCCAAATGACTGAGGCATTAGAAAATGGACGCAGCAGTGCGGCAGGATCTGTGTGGAGCAGGAAGAAGTAAGGAAAAGCCCAGATCCAGAAATCTTACTTGGAAGAAAATTAAGGTGCATGCAAGGCAGAAGGGAAGCAGACAGTAATTCTCAGAGGCTGCTCTGTAGAGATTTATTAATGCTGATTCATATACGGTCCAAACAGGCACACACCCCAGTCACGTTACCTGTGTATTGGACTTGCGGCGCTTCTTCTCGGGACTCTTCATTTGAAGGCCTAATTAGGAGGAGAAAAAGGAAGAGAAAATGAAATGTAGATGTGACAAGCTAATCCAAAGTCCGGGTGGTCAGTCACAGCCTGAACATCCCGGTGCACCGCCTTGCAACTAAGCCCACCCACGTCACTAGACCACAAAACCCAACAACACCCTGTTTGCCTGTCTACAGGTAACTATTCTAGAAATGTGTGTTTCAAAAACAAAATCAACTGCATCAAGATCATTCCCTGCCTAGTTGCTTGGGAGGAGGGAAGAACCTTGCTTTTCCAGAACTTTAAAAGAGACATTTGAAAAATGCATTGATTGAATTAAGTGCCACTGGATGTTACAAAAGCCAACACCTTTAATATGCTTAGTGATAGCCCAGCCCACCTCCTTCTGTCTGTAAGGTATTGTCCATTGGTAGTTGGAATTGATGCTTTTGAATTATGGTGCTGGAGGAGACTCTTGAGAGTCCCATGGATTGTAAGAAGATCAAACCTCTCCATTCTGAAGGAAATCAGACCTAAGTGCTCACTGGAAGGACAGATCCTGAAGCTGAGGCTCCAAGACTTTGGCCACCTCATGAGAAGAGAAGACTCCCTGGAAAAGACCCTGATGTTGGGAAAGATGGAGGGCACAAGGAGAAGGGGACGACAGAGGACGATATGGTTGGACAGTGTTCTCGAAGCTACCAGCATGAGTCTGACCAAACTGCGGGAGGCAGTGGAAGACAGGAGTGCCTGGCGTGCTCTGGTCCAGGGGGTCACGAAGAGTCGGACACGACTAAACAACAATAACAAAAAGTTGTCACTAAAGCTAAAATAAAAATCACCTGGAGAAGACAAGGATTGAACTTAGGACCTTCTATATGTGAAACAGATGCTCCACCACTGAGTTACCGCTCTTCTCTATAACAAAGGGACATGGGAAGCTGCTTTATTCTGAGTCAGACCACTGGCTCATCCAGTGTATTGACTACACTGACTGGCAGCAGCACTCCAGGGATGTACACAGGACCTTCCAAGCCCCACGTGGAGCTGCTGGGGGTTTCAACCTTGCACCTTTGCATGCAAAGTACATCCCTTCCTCTAACATTAAAATAAAGATGCATTTCATTTTCACTTACTACATTAACATACCACCTTTTTTCTTCCAAGGATCTCAAGGTGGTGTACATGGTTCTCACCATCTCACAACCTGTGCAGTAGGTTAGTCTAAAAGATGGTGACTGGCCCAAGGTCACCCAATGAGCTTCATAGCTGAGCGGGGATTTGAACCCTGGTCTCCCAGGTTCTCCCAACACTGTAACCATCACACCACACTGGCTCTCATGGTAGTAAACAAAGGGCCAATTTAAAGAGGAGCGCAGGAAGCTGCCTAATCCATAGTGAGGTCATTAGTCCTTCTAGCTCTGAACTGCCTACCCTGGCTGGCAGTAGCGTTTCGGGATTTCGAAAAGGACATTCCCAGCATTGGGGAGCCAACCTGGGACCTTCTGCGTGCGGAAGAGATGCTCCCTGCCTCTGAGCTTGCAGCCCTCCTCTCGACTGCCCTGTTCCTTCTAACTCACCAGGGTTCACGCTATCACACTGAACAACAGACTCAAAAGGACCTATAGAGCTACCAGGCGAGGGCTTAAACACAAGGCTGCTTGAGCCCCTGTAAGCCCCATTGATTTCAAGGGCGGAGGGCGCTGCCACTCGAAACGTGCCGACTCCATAAGCCTAACTTCCGAGTCCCACTGATTTCAATGGATCTGATCTCCGAACCCAACGTGCACGTTTTAAAAGAAAACAAATATTTAAATTCCAGAGGGAAAAGGGGGTTCCACCCATAGACAAGACACCCCCCCACCACCATCATCATCGTGCGCCCTCCCCTGTCACTCAAGGCCTCCGTCTCCATGGCAACCACCCTCGCCCGCCTCCCGGGCCCTTACCGGCCTTGCCCTGCTTGCGGCCTGGTCCTGTGGAGATGTTCCCTGGCGGAGGAGGCGGCGGACCCGGAGCAGGCGGAGCTGGGCCGACTCCCCCTCCAGCTTGTCGGGGTGCGGGGCCGCCATAAGAGGGGAAAGGGGGGGAGGGGGGAGGGAGAATGGGGGGGGAGGGGAAGAGCAGCTACGAGCGCCGGAGGGGCCCTGCGCGCGCCATCGCGACGAGAACAGGAAGCGGAAGCCCGAGACCATAGAGTTGAGAGGACAGAGCACAGCTTCCGTCTTCCACCGGCTTTGGAAGGAGAACGCGCGCCGCTGTGCCGCTCTAGGGACTAAGCAGCTCCATGGCGACAGAAAAAAAGGCGAGCCTCGCTCAATAGTGAAAGGAAAGGAGGGACACTCTAATAGTGAAAGGAAAGGAGGGACACTCTAGGAGGGACACTCTCTATGGCTCAGGGAACCTAGCCAATAAGAAGAGAGCTTAGACATGAGGCGAGTGAAGGGGGATTGGGATGTACCATTTCGTCAGCGGGGGGAGGGAATAGAGAAACTTTTTAACAGACACAATAGAGCCTGACCCTAAGTAAAGTTCCTCAGGCGGAATGAAGTCAAGGCACGGCCGGAAGGTTAAGACCACTTTTTTTTCCAGAACGGGTGACATGACACACATCCTTTCCCTACCTACCCCTGTGGAATATTCCTAAACGGCAGGCGAAGGACAGGCTTAATCCTGACAGGTACGGCCATTGGCCAATCAGCAGCAAGGAACAAAACGCTCTTAGCCAATGGAGCTTAGGTTCTGCCTTAAGGCATCATGGGAATTGTAGGAACGAATAGGAGCAAGCGATTCCCTACTGCAGAGGCGGTGGGAGCGAGCGCCACCTGCGGAGAGTTTGGGGCATAGCCATCAACGTTTCCCTTTTTTAAAGGGAAATTCCCTTATTCCGAATAGGATTCCTCGCAAGAAAAGGCAAACGTTGACAGCTATGGTTTGGGAAAGCAGCTGGAATTCCAGAGAGACAAGCAAGTGCGCTATACAGGCGACGTGGGGAGGAGCAGGTGCTTTGGGATCTGCTCTGGAACAGTTAAGAACTTCTATATTAGAAGTAATTAGCTATATTAAGAAAAAGTTTAATTATGATAAAAGTGTGTATTGGCAACAAGTAATATGAAATCGAAATATGGAATAGACGGGAGGTTGGTTCTTTAGTGTTAAGACCACTATATGTTTTATTGTTTGCTAAGAAAATTATGTGTCCATGGTTATTCCTGTGTGCAATTTGGTATTTGTGTTTTTTCTTTTTTCTTGCTGTATCAATAAAAATCTAAAAAATAAAGAAGAAGAAGAAGAAGAAGAAGAGGAGGAGGAGGAGTTTGGATTTGATATCCCACCCTTCACTCCCTTTAAGGAGTCTCAAAGTGGCTCACATTCTCCTTTCCCTTCCTCCCCCACAACAAACACTTTGTGAGGTGAGTGGGGCTGAGAGACTTCAGAGAAGTGTGACTGGCCCAAGGTCACCCAGCAGCTGCATGTGGAGGAGCAGAGACACGAACCCGGTTCCCCAGATTACGAGACTACCGCTCTTAACCACTACACCACACTGGCTCTCAAAAAAAGTAAGACCCAAGTAAGACTCTTTGCTGGGTGCCCCCAACTCCACCCCACCTGCAGCTAAACAGGCAAACAAACAAAAAGTGAGGTTCCAGCAGCCACAGCTTTAAAGAAATACCAACTTTTAATAATAATAATAATTATAATTATAATAATAATAATAATCATTGGGTTCCTTTGGTATAATCAAGATAAAATCAAACCGATAAAAAGTGTGTGTATAGGATTGGGGGGACGGGGACACGTGAGGTGGAAATGAAGTCCCCCAGGGAGGGGGGACAGGCACAGTGATCATGGGGGTGTGTGTGAGGGAGGAAGGAAGGGGGGGGCTACACTTTGGCTTCTGGAGTATAACAATGTACATGCAACACTAAAGTTATCAAACTTATTTACAGACCTGGGGAGGGGAGGGAGGTGTGGCTGCAGCCTGAGCACTGCAAGGAGACGTGGCTTTCTTATACCCCCACCTCCTCTCTCCCTGGGTCCTTTGGGTGCTCTGGAAAGCTTTGTGCTCCCCAATATTGCCTCCTTGCGGAAGGTCCTCGAGTTCAAGGACGAGCGTCCCACAAATCCCGAGAGGTCCCTGCGCTGCTAAGGCTGTGCTTTCATAGAATCACGGAGGTGGGAGGGACCCCTGAGGGCCATCTAGTCCAACCCCTGCAATGCGGGCGAGGAGAGGGGCTGTAGTGTAGGGCGTAGCCCAGAGTAATCCTGCCCCCTCCTTCACCTTCCCCGCAGGGCACTTTTGCCAACAGGGATGCCCAAGAGGTGTAGGAGTGCCCGCCAGGGCACAGTGATGGCTGTGCAGGTCCTAGAGATTGGGGGGGGGGGGGAAGAGAACAACAGCCTTCTTCTCTCCACCCCAACCCCACCGCCCTCCAAAGCAGGCCACCACAGCAAGAGGGGTTTTGCATAAAATCTCAGACCTGTAAAAGGGTCAAGGCACGCAGAGTTAATTAATATGTAGAGTGTGTGGTTTTTTTTGGGGGGGTGTGTGTATGTGTTACACATCTGGGTCCAGGGGGAGAACTGCGCTCTCTCTTTTTGTGCTTTACAAAAAAAAGGGGTGGGGAGAGAGGCTATTGTTTCCCTCCCTCCACCCTCTCCCCCACAAAACAACAAAATACGACCAGCAACTTTGGCATTAGCTGAATCCATTGGGCAAAGATTCAATCAGGCGCTGCTACAAACGGAGACGGGAACAGACTTCCGCCCAGACGCTTTAAAAAGTCAAGAGAAGAAGGGTGAGGTTACCTGAACTGGGGGTGGGGGGTAACTAGGCAGGCGAAGTTTGGGGCTCTTCTGCCCTAAGGGAAGCTGTGCAGGAACAGGATCCAGCAAGGGCCACGAGAAACCGAGAACCTCGCTGAGGACTAGCGCCCTGCGCAGGTTTTGCAAAGGTGAGGCAGTGCTGGCCCAGGGCCTCCTTGTGAGAAATGTAAGGTGGGTGACGATAAGCGACAGGAGAGTTTGTTGATAATCAGAGAGCATCTTCTACCAAGGAGGGATTTGTGGAGTGAGGCAGGTGTCCGGCTCGCAATAAAAGGGAGACGCTTTGGCAGAGATGGCAGCGCTCTGGCCTGTGGTGGAGGGAACCATTGATGCCTGGTGTAAAGGCGACACATGTGTGAGGAACAGAACACCCGTAAAAGGCAGGAGAAGCTGAGGTGAAGCTGCTGGAAGGGGCAAGGCGGCAATTATTTTTTCCCACTGAAGGATTTGCAGGGTGGGGATTCGGATGACACCCCGGCCCCTCGCTGCTCACGATCTCCGCTCCACTGGTTGCTGCAGGCAGAGCTCGCTGCCCGCCGAAATGATTGGCAGCCGATTGTCCATGTGGTAGCTAATGAGGTGGCTGACGCTCTCAAAGCGGTGATCCTTCGTCCGGACCTGCAGGTGCGGGAAGGAGACTCTGACTGTAAGGCTTTTTAAAAATTATTTTTTAGTAAGCCTTAAATGCACTGCTTGCGCAATGGGGCTCCTCCCATTCCTGCCTCTTACCCCACAAAACTGGCCTGGGAGTTGGTGTTGGGGAAACCCCCAGAAGAGCCCATGAGAGGAGAGGGGCAAAACAAGAATTAGTGGGCTCTGTCTCCGCCCACCTTTGGGTCTCCCTCCTCCTGTCCTTCTACCTCTGGCTCCACCTCTTGTTGGCTCTGGCTCCGCCCACCTTTGGGTCTCCCTGCCTCCTGTCCTTCTGCTCTGGCTCCACCTCTTGTTGGCTCTGGCTCCGCCCACCTTTGGGTCTCCCTGCCTCCTGTCCTTCTACCTCTGGCTCCACCTCTTGTTGGCTCTGGCTCCGCCCACCTTTGGGTCTCCCTCCTCTTGTCCTTCTGCTCTGGCTCCACCTCTTGTTGGCTCTGGCTCCGCCCACCTTTGGGTTTCCCTCCTCTTGTCCTTCTGCTCTGGCTCCACCTCTTGTTGGCTCTGGCTCCGCCCACCTTTGGGTTTCCCTCCTCTTGTCCTTCTGCCTCTGGCTCCACCTCTTGTTGGCTCTGGCTCCGCCCACCTTTGGGTCTCCCTCCTCCTGTCCTTCTGCCTCTGGCTCCACCTCTTGTTGGCTCTGGCTCCGCCCACCTTTGGGTTTCCCTCCTCCTGCCTCTGGCTCCACCTCTTGTTGGCTCTGGCTCCGCCTACCTTTGGATCTCCCGACCTACCACCCTACTAGTCTCTACAGGGGGCAGCCAGCAAAGCGGGGATTTCTGACAGGAGGGCTGTTTTGTAGGTCGCACTTGGCCCCTCTCGCCCCACCCCCTGAAGCAGAAGAGGGAAGCCTCACCACTCCTTCGGGGTCCACGAGGAGCAGGTGCTTGGGCTGCCCCCCCTGCAGCCCGGTCAGCACATACTGCCCCGGCGTGGTGGTGCTCTCGCGCACCAGGAAGTCCCCGTTCGCCTGCAGCAGCTTCTCGGCATCTTTGCGACTCATCCGGCCGTGGTACCAGGGCTCCCGTCGGAGCTGCTCCTCCATGGAGGCCACCAGCTGGGCTGGGGACGCAGGCGGAGGCCCCCGCAAGGCATCCTCAAACGGCTCTGGGGAGAGAGGCAAGCCGTGAGAGGCGCATGACAGCCAAGTGAGGGCTAGCAGCTTGACAACTCCTTTCAGTGCCAGCGAGATATACAGTGGTACCTCTGATTAAGAATTTAATTCGTTCTGGAGGTCCGTTCTTAACCTGAAACTGTTCTTAACCCGAGGTCCCACTTTACCTAATGGGGCCTCCCGCTGCCGCTGCACGATTTCTGTTCTCATCCTGAAGCAAAGTTCTTAAGCCGAGGTATTATTTCTGGTTAGCGGAGTCTGTAACCTGAAGCGTCTGTAACCCGAGGTACCACTGTCATTGGTTGGGGACTACAAGACGCTAGCAGAAGCCCACAAAGGGAAATTGAGAGTGGGGCAGAAAGCTCCCTCATCGTTTTATTCATTTATTAATTATTATTAGGGATTTATGGTGGGAGCTGGAGCCCAACGCACCACATTGGTGAAGCCTGATTTCAAGCATTAGGAACTCTCCCACTACTCCCAATTCAAAAGTTTACAAAT